ATTATATACAATTACAAAGCCATTCTTCCAACTTCTTGATAAGGAAGAAGATGGAGATGACGATTTTGATGGGTCTTATAATCCACCAAGAAAGAAAAAGGCGGCTAACAACCAATCAAGTTCAGTTCCTTGAGAAAAACTTCGAGGTTGAAAACAAGCTTGAGCCGAAGAGGAAGGTCCAGCTAGCAAAAGAACTGGGGTTGCAGCCTCGCCAGGTTGCAATTTGGTTCCAGAACCAGTGAGTCAGATTTAAGAACAAGCAGCTGGAAAAGGATGATGACTCCTTGAAAGCCAGCTATGACAAGCTTAAGAATGACTATGAGAATCTCCTCAAGGAAGAGGATGATTTGAAAAATTAGGTACCCCTTTTAGCTTTAAAAAAACCCACATACTGCATTGCCCTTTTGAGTTTTCTTTTTAATTCACGTGATCTTTTGTCCTTGAAACAGATCTCTTCCTTGAAGGAGAAATTGCTTACAAACGATCGAGACAGGAAAACATTGTTCTCTTCAGATTGATGTCATTGATTCTTTGAATTCAGAACCTCAAGAACCCATTTTCGATACAGTTTCGGGGAGTTTTTCTAATTTGCCATTGTTGGTCTGTAAACAAGAAGAAGCAAGTTTAGCAAAAAAAGTGCCATTTTCGACTTCGAGAGTGCAATTTACACGAATGGGAACCATTCTTCTTTGACAGAGCCTGCAGATTCTTCTTGTGAGAAAACAATGCAGCAGAGAAAAATATGAAGAAAAATCATACTTTTTCTTGATTCATTTGAACATATAGGCATATTCACAAGAATATTTTATGATACAAAATCAATTAATTTAATTATGTCAATAAATTATAATGTAAATATAATCATAACATTGTGAACATAATAAATTGAGAATATTTTATAACATTCCCCCAAACTTAAAATAGTAATGAGGAGACCAATTTGAGTTTGAAAATGAGGGTGCGGAAGTGTCTAGGAAAATGAGTTTTAGTGAAGAGATTCACTAGTTGATCAGCAGAACTAATAAAGATCATGTGAAGAGTTCCTTTGGCAACATTTGATGAGCTAAATTTATATATATTAATATGAAATTATTGCTTTGATATTATTCATATTTGGATGAATTGTATGAAATTTTATTTGATTTTATATAATTTTTATTCTTTGTGTAGGAAAGGATTTAATTGGAAGAAATCACAATTTTTAAGAGTAAATTGCAAAGATTAGAAACTTGAGGATCAATTTGTGCAGAATCCAGAAGTCAGGGACCAGGACTGTTATTTTACCATTACAGAAATTGCTAAAAAGGCCAAAAACCCGACACGGTGATGTCATTGTGTGCTGAACAGAAAGTGTCGGTACCTTGTTGAAGGTATTGACTTCTTAGGCGATTCTAATCTGTTAGGATTTTTAAAATTTTATAAATACTTATCCAAATTTAGAATTAGGGAAGAGCTAGTGGAGCTTAGTGGCAACTCTCTTTTGAGCATTTTTGGAAATCAAGATAAATGATTCATCAACAATAATAGATTAAAAAGTTCAATTTCTTTAAATTAGGTTTTATTTTTCCTTTGATTCTTTTTATTTATTGTTTGATATTCAAATATTTATAACTATAATTTCAAGTTTTATTATTTTTACTATGAATTAATTTATTCTATTATGGTTACTATGTAGCCTAATCAATTCAATACAAATTTTATAATTTTATACTTTTAATTAAAGTTATTTGCACGAGGAGTTTATATTATTGAATTTAATGCATTGAGAGCTTGATCATCTTTCAATTGATTCAGTGATTTATACATGAACTTAAGAAAGAATTGCATAAATTAAACTAATAATAATATAAACCGTGTGTTAGACTATGAGACCGAAAGGTAATTAGCTCACATATAGTAGTAGCAAAAGAGAAGAGAGTTAGGAGCCCTCATTTTTTAAGCTAAAGGTTTTTTTATAGAATTTAATAATCATTAATTTGTTTAATATTGCATAGAAATATGATTAATTTAACAAATAAGTGAATGATTAACTTGATTTAAAAAAACTAGTTAATATTGATTGATTATGGTGAAGTCGATGTCTTAGTACCCCATATATTGATTAACTTTATTTTAATTGTTATTTTTTTTTATTCTTTATTAAAGTTTATTATCCTTTTTTATTGTTCAAATAAATTTAGATTAATTATTTTGGTATTTAATTAGACACAATCCTTGTCGGTTCAACACTCTTCTCATCATTATATTACTTGGAGTGACTAGTATACTTGTTAGGGTGCTTTTAGTGCATCAAACATGATATCGAATAAAATGACAATCGACCTCAATATGTTTTGTGCACTCATGAAAAACATCATTGTGAACAATTTGTATAGCACTTTAATTGTCACATAAAGATCAGTAGAAGATGGTTGGAAAACACCCATATCCTCCAAGAGCCATCGGAGAGAAAGAAGTTCTAAAGTGGTGTCATCCTTTGTATTCAACCCCAGTACTAAGGCGAGATGGAATAGCTTGTTTCTTATTATGCCATGAAATAAGAGAGTTACAAAGAAAGAGATAATAGCCAGTAGTGGATCTTCGATTTGTAAGATCACCAACCCAATCAGTATTTGAATATGCACGAACTACAAGGGAGGAGTGAGCTGAGAAGTGAAGTCCATGAAATAGTGTTCTCTTAACATAGCAAATAATATGAAGGATAGTAGCCAAGGTTTTGAAAACCAAATCGGACCGATTGGTTGAATCGGTCAGATCGATACTCGGTCATAAAAACAAGCCGAGTTAGTACTTCAAACTGTTTAAGGGGTTAAACCACTCAAAACCGTTCAAACCATCCAAACTGGTAAGAATTGATAAACCTTCCAACCGATCGGGCCAACCATTTGTTGCTGCCGGTGGGTCTCGAACACGAGACCTCATTGGATTTCCACAACTCCTTTACCACCAGAGCATCAAACCCCTTTATGAAATAAGTTACAAACACTATCATTTAAAAAATATTACAAGAGTAAATGTAAGTGAATAAATTTGGCATGTTTGAGATTCGAACCCTGGTTCCATATGACACAAAGAAGCATTCCAACCAGTTGAGCCACTTCTAGCTTTATGAAAAGAACTACATTATAAAATATTTAACATATATCTTCAAAATTCAAACAACTCGGTTTTTTATCCGGTCAAATCGGTTTAAATGTTCAACCTGTGAACTAGAGGTCAAAATGGTTTGACCTCCAGTTTAGTTTTCAAAACATTGACAGTAGCATAATGAGTGGAGCGGGGAGCAGCCATAAACTGACTAACAACGCGAACTGCATATGTTATGTCTAAACGTGTCGTAGTAAGATAAACCAAACTCCCAACTAGCTGTTTATAACAAGTAGGGTTAGGGAGTGGAGAGCCATCTAATGATGTAAGCTTGACATTCGGTTCAAAAGGTGTGGAGACAATCTTGCTATTAGTGAGATCAGCTTTAGATATGAGATCTGATGCATATTTTACTTGAGAGAGAAGATAGCCATCGTCTGAGGATGTAACTTCAAGTTCTAAAAAATAACTCATAGAGCCAAGGTCTTTCATCTTAAATCTATGGCTAAGAAACTACTTAAGCTCATCAATCCCTGAAACATCATCTCTAGTGATAATCATATCATCAACATATGTGAGTAAGAGAACCATTCCCTGAGCAGATTTATGGATAAATAAAGCAGTATCATGTGGACTTGATGTGAAACCAAACTCACTTTTAGTAGAACCAAATGTTGCAAACCATGCTTGGGGAGAATGCTTTAAGCCATACAAGGCTTGTTGCAATCGACATACCTTATTTGGAGGATGAGTAAGTCCAGGAGGCGATTTCATATAAACCTCATCTTCTAAATCACCATTAAGAAAAGCATTCTTCACATCCATCTAAAACAACTTCCATTTTCGTACAGCAGTAATAACTAGTGTCATAACTCAAATTTGTAATAGAATTTTAATTTTATTGTTATTTTCAGTCTTATTTTTATTTTAACTAATATGTTTTATCTTTATTTTCCTTGTTAGGCTTACGAGCAAAAGAGGATTGGAAAAGGGAGATGGAGTTTAAAATGAGGGACCTAATTGAAGAAATAGAAAGTTGGAGGGGTGAAATGCAAAGTTAAAAACCCAAAACCCAAGCCTAAAGCCCAAACTACCTAAAGACCCAATCTTCCCAAAAAAAAAAAAAAAAAGGAGATTAAAATTCCCTTCTCTCCCGAAGCTTCTATTTCTCGGTCAACCCTCAGCTTTTTTCTCCTCCTCCCGAAAACCAGCCTCTTCCCCAACAGGTCCAGCAGCTCCTCACCCCCACTTTCGGTTTCCCTCCATGCTCAAAACTCCTTTGATCTCTCCTCCCTTGGTTTCACGCAATCTGCCATCTTTTTCTCCATGGGTTTCTTCTCCGGCGACCATTCCTTCTTTCTTGAGGCCGCCGGCGAACATCTTCATTCTCCTTGTCTTGCTCCTGTCGCGGGTTCCAAGCCTTCGATCTCATCATCTCCAACTCCCTTCCATGTCAAACCCACCTTCCAAACCATTCCCGTGGCCCAGCATGACCCACGCCGACGAGTGAGCATCGGAACCGGAGAGAGGAAAGCCAGATTTACCAACCAGCAATGGCGGTGATGTGCACGCGAAACCCCGGCGACTCGGCGAAATATCAATCGTCATCCAACTGAAACAGATCTGCAAACCAAATCTATGCTAGCTACGGGTGGGTGACGACAGAGTGAATTGGGCGTGGATGAAGGCCCAAGTGCATTTCCATATTTTTGTAAAAAAGGATCAACATTGGAGAGGCCCAAATGCCTTGCAGATTCGGGAAACAGATCTGAAGAGCCCAAAACCGTGGATCCAAATGGCCCGGAGAGATTGATTCTAGAATGTTCTTTTTAGGGTTTTTAGGGTTTTTGATGTTTGGGTATAAATAGGTGGTTTTAGGCTAGCAGAGAGGTCTTTTGTTGAGTGAGTCTGGTGTTGACGGCGGAGAAAAGGAGAAATTTTTCTGCTGAAAGGGGCTCGGTTTTTGTATTCAGAGGTTGACGGAGACTGAAAAGAGGGCTTGTTTGCTGTGTCTGCTTCGGTTTAGGTAAATCTTTGAACAGAGGAGTTTTCTGGGAATGGTGGTGAAGGGGACGATGGGAGCCTGGTCTCGTGGGTGGGATCCCTCCCATCAGATCTGGATCCATTTTTACCAGAAAACTCTGCCTTGGATGTGTTGCCTTGTTGTTGATTCCTCTATTTTTTTCCATTTAATGTTTAAGGTTATATGTATTTTCTTGAGAAAATGAATGAAAGATCATATATTTGCCTGTTTATTTGCTTGATGAATCTGTTAATCTTTTGCTGGAAATGACATGAACCCTAGTTGCAAGTTTCCTTTTTGCATGTTTGATCTGTGTTTGCTTATCTTGAGTAACGGATCGTGTTTCTGGGTTGGATCAACCCGACCCAATTCAATATATATATATAAAAAAAACTAAAAAAGGTTAAAAAGTAAAAAAA